TATAGAAGTACTGGATACAGAGGGGAAATGAATCTAAATGGGAAGAGATTATAACATTCCGCTCAGTCTTTGTTTACTTAGTATAGTATTAGAGCAGTATGCCATCAGCTGAAGTACTGGGAATTAGCTAATCTAAGAGCCATCCCTGTAACCCTGGTGTCTGGGTTAGCGAGCTTGAGTGCCAAACTGGAACTCGTGATAGATCTGCGGGGTTGATTTTCCATAGCCTGAGTGCTCTGGCTGCAGCAAGTCAACATGGCTGTTCAGTGCAAGGTGCTGTGCTGGTAAGAGAGGTTATGGTTTACCTTCCTGTCTGCTGCTCTGTTCTACTCTTAACTCTTTTCTGGTCACTTTTCCAGCTTCTCTCTGCAAGCCTGCAGCTAGAACAGTCATGAACTCGAGGCATGTCGGGTTTCAGACAGAATGAAGTCTTTTCCAAAGGAGCTTCTGAAAATGACAAAAAAACCCCCAAGAACTGCAAAAAAACTATACTTGGTGGGGGGTGGGGGAATCTCTGATGGAAGATGCATAATAAGAACAAGGTTTTTAAAATTCTGTCTTGGCCTAAAGCCATGTGCCTGCAGTTTGAATTTTGGTCATAGGAATGAATTAAAATCTCACTAAGAGTTGTGCTGAAGGGGGTTTGCTTGGGCACATTTGGAACTTAATTTCATTTCTCTGTGGCTCAAAGTGCCATAGGAGTATTGGAAAGCTGCTGGTATCCTTTGTGGATCTAAATGTATACTTTCATAAAACTATGCAGAGTTTCAAGGCACTCCAGACTAGATAATTAATCTAGTATATTTAACAGATCTTTGCAATGTTCCATTAAAATTCTCCATTTAAGATTGATAGTGGTGGTGAGGCAACAATTCCAAGAAAAGTGTGTGATTTTTAGATATAATCTCCTGTATTTCAGTATGTTGCACTGGAGAAGTGAGGCCTAGTCTCTGTCAGCCCCTGAAGCAATTTTGAGGAGTCCTGACTTGTGGAGTGAACTTAGAGGTCTTCAGCTCTAAGGTGGAGGTTTTCCAACAACAGGGTGCTGGATAGAGGAAAAGCTTTGTTGGGATTTGTTCCACAGCGGAGCTGCAGCAGGTGTTTATACCCTTGTACCCACCAGGCAGCCGGTGCTGGAGCAGGGCTGGGAGAGCTCACGCCGTGGGATGCCAACCCTCGGCTTTGGTGCCTCCAAAGGTGAGCTGGCCCTGCAGGACTGGTGGCATGTGGAGTGCAGGTGGGAACACGCAGCTCTGCATGGTGTAGAGCCACAAAGTGATGCAGATACCGCAAATGTGTGTCAAAGCTGTCCTGCCGTCCTTAGGCCGAGCCTGTCAAACTTTTGATTGCCAGCTGCTTTAGAAAAAGATGGTTGAGTGCAGCCACGCACTTTCCCCTCCAGTCTGCAGTAAGATTGTACATCTTAAATACAGTAGGTGTTTGCCTATAATTAGAGCTTGAAGTGATATTTCTCGAAACCACATTTGTAAAGTCCCATCTATACTCTGTTTGGCCAGTAGTGTAGCTGCCTTCATGCACTTTTGAAGAAATGAAGAGGTAGGACCTCCTTAAGCTCGTTTGACTAGTCAGCACTAGCACTCAGGGACCTGATCTGCCTGAAAATGAACCCCAGATTAGGCCAGTAAATCTCCCAAACAGTGTCAAGTGGAGGCAGGAACACTAATGGCACCACAAGAAAGCATGTAAATGCTTGGAGGTAGGAGGAAGGGGCAGGACTGCATCTTTCAAGAGCCAGCTGTGTTGACTTGCGTGTGTTTCTATTTCTGTTAAGTCTGACATGTTTTAAAATTGCTCTAATACAGGGCAGCAGAGTAGCCAGCACTGCAGGATGATCTACCCAAATGTAAAAATTGTATTTGCGAAGTAATGCAATAAAGTAGTCATTTCATGTTGTGTCCCTGAAATGCAACAGTAAACATTCAGCATCCAGCATATGGAAATCTGCTTTCACTAGACTATTAAAGTAGGTTTACTTTCATATATAGTATGACTGACTGGGAATTTAGACCCACACTGCAAGAAACCAGGAAACTTCTGATTTTCCTAGGAGGAAAAGCTTGCCTTGTGCCCTCCTTGCTGGCTTGTAAGGGAGGCTGCAGGCAAGTGAGGGTAATCTTGGTCTGTCTTGCCTCCCAGCTGCAACCTCACCTAGGCTGGAGCAAAAAACTGCCAGAGGAAATTGAAGTGGTTGTTTTCAATGATTTACGCTTGCCAGCTCCTCAGTTGTAATTACTACCTATGACTGACCACAAGGATTTGTGGAACAGTGTTTGTGTTTGGCGTGGTTATGGATAAATGGCAATTTTAAGTAACATGGCAAACATACTGCTAACTAGTATTCCTCAGATCCCTTTTGGGTGCAGTCCTAAAGGGACTGTTGGTATATAATTATATTTCTTCAAAGATGCTGATATCTGGCCAGCATGTGGAGTTGGCCAGCAAGTGGAGTTGGCCAGTTCCCACTCAAAGAAAAGAGCAAACCAAAATAAGGAGTTTTGGGGTGTGTGGGTTTGGGGAGTTTTGCCCCTTTTTAAGGGGAAAACTACATTTAGCCCTTTTAAACTGATTATACTTCTGGGTTGTGTTCACAACTTTGTGATCAGCCAATTCTGCTTGTTCTCCAAATGTAACAGAGTTAAAACAGGAATTGATTCTCCTAAGGCTGCCTGCCTTAGGAGACATGTCAGAACAAAAAGATTTGGATAGTTTTGAATAGTCATGGTCATGTTTTATGGAGACTGCTCTCTTACTCATGCTGCTGCAACAGCAATGGATGAATCTACTTGACAAAGTGAGCTGAAGGGACAGCTCCTAAATAGTTACTGCAAATGCCAGGTTGAGTGATTCAGATGTATGTAAATATGCATGCCTTGTATACTCCAGATTGATGTAAGTTTAGTAGCAATATCCTCTCACAGCAGAGCAGCATAAATTAAGGTTATCTTCACAGGAAAAACTTGCAGAAGCCTTGACAGATCTGTTCCAGGAGAGTTCTTGTTTATTAGAGGAGTCAGACCCTCTACAGAGGTATAGAGGGGGTACAGTTCCCTTTCTAAACACATAAAAAGAATGTAGGAAACTAAATGGAGCTTTGATCAGCTTCATCCTGCCTCTTCCATGCTTTCATACAAAGCACAGACTCTCTACATTTATTGGCAGTTGCTGGTCATAGTCCAAAGCTGTCTTCAGGCTTGCAGGACAGCGGATGTGGCGTACAGTATTGGGCCAGAACTGCTTTGTCCGAGACTTCATCTACTATTGAATGCTTTGAATTTTTTTTTTTATTCTCTTGATGGTGGAATTAGCACTGAGAAGCCTAGATTGGTCAAAGCTCCTTTGTAGCCTTTTTAGCATCACTAATTATCCCCACCCAAACTGAAGGCTTGTCTCAGCATGGAGGAACTATGATTTTTCTCTCCCCCAAGTATGTTCTTAATGTGATGTTGTTGCTTGCTGTTGCCATGGTGCGAAGAGAGCTATGTCAGATTAAAGATAATTTGGCCGTTTTGGTAGACTGCTCTGAGCAGTGTGACTAAGTAGTGATAATCTCATTAAGTCACATTAAAACAAACCCAGAGCATTGGTGGGGGGGGGATTTCATGGTGACCATCAGCAGGATGGTGATGTATAAAGTATGTGGATAGTACAGATATTAACTGTTGCCTCCTCTGAATGTAAATGCAGTTTAGGCTGAACTTTTGGAAGTCTCTATGTAGACAGTTTGTTTGTTGCTTAATTTATGTGATGCTTGTCCAGAATCACACATCACTTGATGATGTAAGTGCTTGGTTACAGGTGTTGTCTTGCTCTTCTCATATAGGATGCCCACTCACAAGGAGAGGTGGTCGCATGCCTGGAAAAAGGCCTGGTAAAAGAGGCAGAGGAGACTGATCCTCGAATTCAGGTTTCTGATCAGTGTAAGAAAGCGATCCTTCGTGTAGCTGAACTCTCTTCAGATGACTTCCACTTGGACCGGCATCTCTACTTTGCATGCCGAGATGACAGAGAACGATTTTGTGAAAATGTGAGTAGTTCCCTCTTGCATTCTCTTCTACCGTAATCCATTAAAAAAAACCTGAAATCCTACTGGAAGGAGGAATGGAACGATAGACTGGAGCCCGAGCGAGATCGTGTAATACTCAAAACAGACACCTTGTAGCTGTCATTTTGCAATAAAATTGGTATTATATTCGCTCACCCAACAAACAAGCATTATTTCCAGTGGGTTAATGAACTGAATTGGCATAAATGGTTTAATGGGCATCAGAGCTGGTGTTGACAGGGAGTGGAACGACTGGAATGGCGAGGAAGCAACAAAGGTAAATGACTGCTCCCTTCTGCAGCAGTAAGCTGTTGCACAAGGTAAGCCTGGTCTGACTCTACTTGAAGCACTTCTTATCCCTGGAGTGATGAGCTGGAAAGCTGCATTGAGTAGAAAGCTGCATTGAGTCTGAGTTATCAGCTGAGCGTCTTATCACTAAAAGGGTGATGAACACAACCAGATTTTTTTTCTAATGCAATAAAATTTAAAAGATTTTTATAGTATAGAAGCTATCACTGTCATTTGAAATACTAACTTTAATGTATTTCTAGTTTAAAAAATAAATCTCTTTAGGTGTAGTTTAGCCTGCTCATTAAGCATTACAAGTCTTATCTTTGGTGAATGTTACTGTTCTGTTTCACAGACTCAGGCTGGGGAAGGCAGAGTCTACAAGTGCCTCTTTAATCACAAGTTTGAAGAATCAATGAGTGAAAAGGTAGGTATCTGTCTTCGTGAGACAAATCCTTAATGCAGAAATCATCAGATCATTCATCAGTCCAGGCTACAGTATTCTTTTCCAGTGTTGAGGAAAATCCATCATCTACGTGGTCACACAAAGCATCTGTTAAGGCAGTCAGTTTACTTCGATATGTTTGTGTTTCCAGCTACGTGCTGATGGCTTGAATTAATTGTACTCAAGTTACAGCCTTTAAAGTTAAGGATTTAAATAAATTAAAGCTTTTGGGTGGGTAATTCGGGAAGGTAGACATGGAGCTCAAGTGGTAGCACTGTGAGTGTTTAAAGTAAAAGTTGCACCACGCTGGGGTAAGCCTTGGATAAATGGCGTCATAGCGTACAGATTAGAAACAAAATACTCAAATGCCTCAGCACAGGAAGCTGTGTGTGTTTCAGTTTTGTTTTCAAGGCTATCAGTATCTGACCATGAAGCAGCAAATTCTGTGGGAAAAATGCATGCCTCAGTTACTGAAGTTTTCCTTATGTTTTTCCTGAAGATGTGGTTTTCAAAAATAACAAAATTCTGGAAGGTTAGTCCTGAAAAGAGTTTGTATTGCTGTAGGTGTTTTGGGAAGACAGCAGTGCCTTCAGTGATTTCAGAAGCAGCATCATAGTGTTTGAGATTATATGGAATTATATCATCTGTCTGAAAGGTTATAAAGATGGATATCTGTAAAGCCCTCCTCAGAGAAGCTCTGCTGAAGGAGCCCAATTCGGAGGCCTGGAGGGATCAGACTAATTTCCTTTTCTTTAAATGCATTAGCTATCTGAAAGCTTGGTTCCAATTAACAAATTCAAAACTGAGAGTGTGATCCCTGAGGGCTTGAAACAAAGCTTCATTTTGTACAAGCACGTTACTGAAATGGACTGCTATTTTTATTTAACCTGGTTTTGGTTGTACAGGGACAGTGGTGTGCTTTGAGGGGTCTTTTTCATGATCAGCCAAGATATGAATGTAAGATGTTGAGAGGTTAGACAAAGCTGTAGCAGATGACTTGGTAGGTAGAGGGGGGTGGATGGTCTGAGGGCATAGTTTGCAGAGCAGGAAGAACACAAAATCTAGTTCTCACTCTTGTGGCTGCCAAGGTTGGACCATCTGCAAAGTCACTAGTTTTGTAGAAGCTGTTACCCAGAAAAAAGTCCCTCCTTGCCGATGGCATTGGCTGCTGCACACACATGTAGCCGACAATAGCTGCCTGGTGGGTGGCTTGCTTTGTGTAATCCAAAACTGATCGCCAGGCTGGGCTCACTGGCAGTACCTGACATTCCCCTGCTTTGGGGGATGAGGTATCTGTGAGCCTGTATCTCCCTGTGCCCAGAGCTTTAAGTCTGTCTAGTCCCACGGTCTCAGTCATGGCACAGAGATGGGAGCATGAAGGAGGGGGTGGGAATATCTTGGAGTAGGGCTTTCCAGGTCCTGGAGAAGGTATGGGAAGGAGGGGGAGAAAAGTCAAAAACCTGGTGTAAGGAAGAGGAGAGGGCTATAGGGCTTCTCTGTTCCTCATGCTGAGGTTGCTCCCTGTTCTCCCCACCTGACAGATGCGCAGTTTTCCTTCCTTTCAAACCGACCGAGAATGGACAAATTTGCCTGAGCTGTTCTGAATTATCTGCCACCCTCTGATTTAATTTTCATATAATTTAAACCAAAAGTTATGAAGTGTAGTAGTGTTTTTACAGGCCCTTTTTTGGATGAAATTGAGAGGGTTGTTCTTGCAGCTGCTGGGTTCGGGTTTGGCCACAGTACATCCTCGTGGGCCTCACCAGTTGTGGAAAATGGCTAGAAATTCCATGGTTAGACTGCTTTATCTGCTGTCAATCTGTTTGGCATGTTGCAGAACAAATCCAAAGAACACACTGTTTTGTAAATGTGACTGGAAAACGTTGTTTCTTGAGGGCATGAGGTGAGTGTGTACCACAGCTGGGATAAATGTCAGCAACTGATCCTAGTTACCAAGAATGAGTCACGCTCTCAGCCATAGCTCTTCACAAAAAGCTGGATGAATGTGCAGTTTTAAGAAGTGCTCTGCAAATAGCTGCTGCATTTAAAACCCTTGATCTGTTGACCTTGGTGTGCATTGTTAACTGTGTGGTTTCTATGAGACAAATGAAATTTAACTGCAGTCCAGCTTAAACACATGAATTATAAAGCATCAGCTGTCTTTTGAAACACAACTTGAAAACTTAACAGCAGCAGGTCTAGCACTCTGCCGCCAGCAAACAGAAGCTCATTCAGCCATCCCAATGTGTCTCCTGCAGTGTCGTGATGCGCTGACAACCCGCCAGAAGCTGATTGCCCAAGACTACAAAGTCAGTTACTCACTGGCGAAGTCCTGTAAAAGTGATCTGAAGAAATACCGCTGTAATGTGGAGAACCTTCCCCGGTCTCGGGAAGCCAGGCTTTCATATCTGTTGATGTGCTTAGAGTCTGCTGTACACAGAGGTAAGCAGAGTTGAGTCAAGAGAGAGATGGGACCTTGATTTTAAGTTTCTCTGAGACCTCCAGGTTCAACATGTATTTACAGTCCCCTTCTCCAAGTAACCTTTTCCAGACTTTGGTTCAGAGGCAAGTTTCCTCATCATAATGCTTTCATCACTGTTGTTTTGAAGATGGAGTAAATAGCTGAGTAAACCTCCGACGCTGACTCCTGTTGTGTAGGCAAGACGTTTAAAATGCAAAATAGCAAGTCCCACTTGGAATATTGATGTGTAATTGCAAATCCTTCTATTCACTGTGAATTCAAGCAGCTTTTTTTCTCCTTTATGTAGTAAGCAAATATGCTACTAGGTTAAAACACAGAATAGAGAACCTGTTTATCATCACTTAGGGAAAGCCAGGGATACTCAGCCCTCTGTCTCTTGTAAGTGATGTTCTTTCCTTGCGGTTCAGTAGCTTGGGTAGATGCCTTAATTTCTCTAACTCTAGTTTTTCCTGTATAGAAGGGAAGTGTGAGAATATTCTTTTTGTTCCTTTAAGTTACTGTAAGCTGGAGCTGTCCTAACACCAGCGGCTGTCCCAAACACATTAGAAGGCCCTGCAGCAGGACCATGCTACAGGTTCTCTGTGAAATTGCCATAACATGTAAAATGACACATTATATCCTCCAGATCTGCACTGGAAAATTGCTTGCTTTCCCCCTTGGCATGCAGCTGAGTGGTTTCTGATTCAGCAGCAGGGCTGCATGCTGCAGTGCCCCTGGCATGGGAGGGAAAGGCTGCTGTAACACCATAAGCAATCTGTGCATTTGTGAGTTTGAATAACTCATTGCTTCTCATTGATGTGGAAATGATGTGCGCTGTTTGTGGAAGAGTTGTGGGTTTTTTTTTCCTTCTCCCTGCAGTAGGGCAGGTGCTTTCCTGAATTATATGCAGAAAACTGCTGTTCAGTTATTAACTTCCACTTTCACAATGGAACAGGTTTTGCAGTGTGTGGCTCATGCACAAAGCATAGCCCAGGAGGAACACTAATTATTCCACACACTTCCACATGTCTGTATTATAATGCCTGGGAGCCCTTGTGGGGGTGTAGCACCTGTGTTGCATGGGGCATTGTACACATATGAGTGGGTTGTGATGGGGGCTAGGGGAGGGCATAGCAAAAAAGACTTTTTGATTAAAACAACAACAAACTGTCTACATGGGGAATGTAAGAAAGCTTATAGCAGAGCTAAGCATTGATTAAAGTTAGATTTCTGTGCAATTACAGTGGTTTGTTAGACACTCCGTGTATACTCTTGGTAACCTATTCTGTGTTTTGGCTTCCTGAGCAAGTATGTGCTATTGCTCTAGACAACCTTTTCCTCAGAAAATGTTTAACCTGCTGGATGGACAAATTCCTGCCCAAATTACATACCTCTGGTAATTTACCAGCTTGATGACTTCTGTTTCTACAGTCAAAAAATGAGCCCTTGAGCATACAGGGAAGAGCTGACCTGTACCACAGAACTGGAGATCCACTGAGCGTTTTCAGCTGTTCTTCAAAAGCACCTACTGTAATGTGAAATACAAAATAAGATTCTCCTAATCTTTCAGGAATCCTTTTTTTCAAATCCATGCATTGAATCCATAGACTGGCTATTTCACATGTTCAATTAAATGCTGGGAGCTACCATAACAACTGGTGTAATTCCCAGCACATCTGCTTTAGCATATTTGTTGCAGCCTAGTGTTGTCCAGAGCGTGGACATCATCCCTATTCTTCCAACATAATGGTAGCATAGGTCAAGAAGGGCTCTGCTAAGTGTTAATACTAAATCACGTCGTCTTCTCTTGGCTCAGGTCGACAAGTGAGCAGTGAGTGCCAGGGTGAAATGTTGGATTACCGGCGCATGCTAATGGAAGACTTCTCACTGAGCCCAGAAATCATCCTGAGCTGCCGAGGGGAGATCGAACATCACTGCTCAGGCCTGCATCGGAAAGGTCGCACCCTGCATTGCCTGATGAAAGTAGTACGGGGTGAAAAGGGAAACGTCGGGCTGAATTGTCAGCAGGCAGTAAGATGCTTTTCTGTCACTTCGCTTCTAGGTGCTCAGTCGGTAGAAGCACTGATTTGACTGTTAATGTTTTGCCTTGTGATAGAGATTCTTCTGAAGGCAGTCTGGCTCTGCTGGGTACCAGCGAATGCTGGAGGCAGTTGTGTAATTGTCATGGTATGACAATTAACTTGGTATTTAGCAGCACATTAGTAGCACATTATTTAGCAGCACATTAGTAATGTTTTTTTTTTCCTCGAAAAGTATGTTTTGGATTGTTTTGCTCTGGATTTTGTACTGGATCTCTAGTTCTTCTCCAGCAGCTCTCAAGTCATGGAATTCTCTCCTGTGTTCAAGATGTATGGAAACTTCTTTTTTTATAAGTGTTAAAACATTCTCCTTCGCCTTTCCTCCTGTGCCCTGGCCTTGGAAGTGCACTAAATACTCTCAAAGCACCTTTCCACTCAGTTTTATTTTTGCTATTTCATTCAGCTTAAACAATGGAAGTGGAACTTCAGGGACAGGTAGGTACAACATACTGCTGCACGTCATTTTAGTTGCAGCCACTGAAGGAAATATTGTTGTTCTCCAAAATACCTCTTTAAAACGGGATGATTCTTTTGCCTTTTTTAAACTCCATTTTGGCCCAGATGCATCCTGTTTGTAGTTGTCAAAGATAAATGAATATCTGTTAAATTTCTGTAAGGGATAGGATGCTTTTGTGACAGAGCTTATTTTTGTGTAAATACCAGGTGTATTGGTGTAGCAACTGTACAGTTTGAGTCATTTCTGCAGTAAGCTGTAGTGCACGAGTTATGCTTTGCAACATTAGTGTGAAAAACTGAATAGTTGTTTCTGTTTAAATATGAAATTGAACTTGCTGCCTCAGAACTTGATTATTTGCAAATTGTTGGAAGATCAGTTCATCTTGGGAATAACTTCCAGGTCATGAAGTGCATGTTCAGAACAAGTCATAAGTCAAGGCAGGGGACCCCCAAAAGTGATACGAGATTTCAGACTTTTGGGGAAAAAGAACATCAGTAGAAATCTATAGGGTTTTTTTTCAGTTCTCTTATACTTAAGCTTCTGCTTTATTTTTGTACAGTAAGTTGATGCAACAGCAGGGCTTGTCCATGACTCCCCTTCAAGTTGCATGACCTGTGTTCTGTTCTCTATGCAAAAGACAGCAGGAGCAAATTCAGTGTTGATTTTGTGAAATAGGATTAGTTTGTTCATATTTTTATGGGTAAGAGGAAGTAGACAATTGCAAGAATAGGATAAACATTCTAGTGCTCTGGGTTCTTGAGGACTGGCATGGTGCTATTATATAGCTGCCTATGACTTCTGAGATACTAAAGCATTTATTGTTGATTTTTTTGTATGTGAATGGTAATGGTCATCTTGGCTGTCACTGGTTTTGTTTTGATTTATTGTGTTAGAATGAGCTTCTTGCTTTTACTGTCTATGGTAGGTAAATTATCTTTCTAAGGAAGAGAATATTGTCTGAAACCCTTCCTGATACTGTGTGGCTTGTGCAAGAGGCTCAAACTCACCTGTCATATGAGATTGGCCCATATGACAGGCCATGAAGAAGCCAAGTTAGAGGTCCATCCCTTCATAGTAGCTGGAGCTACTTAATTTCTTTTTGGATACCTAGAAAACACCTTTGACGTATGCTTCTGCTGAGTCACTGATGCTTTTCTGAAGCTGATTTCTCAGCTTCTTTGTTGCCATGTGTCAGTAGTTTGGTCTTTGAGACGCAGATGGTCTCAAAGTGCTTCTTTGGTAAATTCATTCATGGGGGAAAGATTGACCTGTGTTGGGGTTTCCAAAAACTAGTAAGCAGACTGCATCAAAGAGCATGGACTGTTTTGGTTTGGGTGTTTTTTGGTTTTTTTTTTTGTTGGTGGTGTTTCTTTGGTTTTGGTTTTTGGTGTTTTGGGGGTGTTTTGCCTACAGTATAATGTTGATGAGATGTCCTGTCACTTTGTACCTCCAATGGTTCCTCATCTGCAGATAGGATGGCTGCTTCAGTCACCTGCTTGCTTGCTTCCTGGCTACTGCTGGGTCCACATGGCTTCAGCCCAAGTCCAGCTAGACCAAAGCTGACTGATGTTTGTCCTTGCTTTCTGATATTCTTGGGCAATTCTTATTTCAGGAACATGGTGCTGATTGTCTCAGACTGAACTTTGATGTGGCTGGTGATGGTGGAACTACTGGTCTGTGGCATTTCTGCCTTACCACCTGTGGAAACAGAGGAAAACAGCACCAGTTGCTTTGGGGTTGTCCAAGCAGAGCTGGCTGCAGAGCTTTGGGCCCATCTCCAGACGTCATGTTTTCTATGTGGAGTCAAAAACTTGTGTCCCTGTGGTTTTAGTAGCATCAGTAGCTAACACTAATACAGCACTTCAGTTTCTTGGCTAGCTCAAAGCAGTAGGACTAGTCCTACTGAACTTCTTCAGATGTGCTTGCCTAGACAGTGTGCTTGAGGAAATTTGGAACGGGAAACATCTAATTTGGATCTGGTTTTACTTACTGTCCTGTCTGTCAAGGTTTGCTCTGATTCTGCTTGCCTTATGAAAGGAAGATGTTTGCCCATCTGCCAAAAACAACACAAAGAATCCCAAAACAACAAAACATAACTGAATAACTTGCCAAAGTGCCCAAGTTCTGTAAATGGTAGAGGAACGATGGCTTTCTGTATAACATAAATGGTTCAGTCTAAGTTTTTTTTAAACTTGCGAGTGTTTGGTCAGCCTTACCTTGCCTAACTGTAGGTTTAAGTACCTTCCTCAGCCCAGAATATCACAGGTATGCTCTGGCAATGTGCCCTCTTAAGGGCTGCTTGCAGTTTGGCTTTGTTGCCTCAGACAGCACTCTGCCTGTTCTGAAGCAAAGGGTAGCGCTCCTATTATTTATACTATTGATGCACTTCTATAGAGGCATGCATTTCATTAAGGGACAAAAAAAAGTATTGGAATGAGATACTACTTCAGGAGCACATCTTCCCATGTAAAACAAGCTGCTCTTTGCTTTGGGGAAGCATATACAGTGTGGATACGTTCCAGTCATTAAATGGTCTGCAAATGTCATTGTTATGTTATTCTTCAAAGATGGAGGGGATGTTGTGTAGGAAGGGTAGGTCTGTGATGCTGTAGGTCATCAGACAGCAAATGTATGTGTCCTTAATTGTGAGCATCAGCCCTTAAAAGATCTACAGCTGTACTGGTAGTGTCTAGCACCTGCTGGTGTTGCTCAATGGAAGCAATATTTTGTACTAGAGCTGCTGGGAAACCATTTCTCAAATATGTGACTTTTATGTTGCTCTGGTCTCATCTTTGTTTTTTCTGTTCAGTCCCTTGAGCAGGTAAAACTGTAATCCTTGCTAAAAGGGCAGATACTTCTGCTTTCAATTTCTAATGCAGCTAATGAATTGGTAGTTAATTGTTAATTTAGTTCCACATCAGGATAAAAGTTCAGAGGATTATAAAGGTTATCCAGCTACTTTTCAGCTGCAAGGGTTTGTCATGGGAGGGAGGAAAATGCTACAAAACCTTCACTGTTATTAGCAGTGCCAAATTATTCCCTCACCCCTGCAGTCAGGGCAGCTGCACATCTTGCATGTGGTTGAGAATGAGGACTGGCAATTGTGAAGTAGTGCCCGAAACAGGGCAGAGAGACTAGGAAGTGATCTGGTGTTTCTGAGCTGTTGTACCCAGTGCACTTTGGCCTCTTCCACTTGATAGCAACACAAATACCACTTAAACTAAGACCTGAGGAAGAATCCTGCCTAAATAATACTCTGGCCAGTTTATTTAATTTGTGTATGTAAGAAAGTGTCAGGTTTGAAGTTTTATTCACCCATTTGTACTTGAGGGAGTAATTCCAGTAACCATACTTGATCCCTTTTTATATGTAAACATCTGACATGAAGTGAGCCCAGCACTTTACGTGCAGAGTATTGCCCAACCGTGCAGGCTCTGTGTGTATGTGCGTGCATGCCAGCAGAATGACCATATTCTTCTCCTTCTTGCATTGCCTCTTACGAAGTTTGTAAAGGACGTTTTGCTTCTCACTTCTCCTGCTGATTAAGGTGCAGCTCCCTGTTCTATTTGACCACTGTCAAGAGTCGTATAAAATGTTTCTTTTTTAATTACTTTTTTATTGAAATTATCCCAAAAATCTTTGAATCAACAGCTTGTGCCTGCTAGGTAGCGCTCTTCTGAGCTGCCTCCATCCTTTGGAAACTGAGGCTGGGCCTAATTAACTTTGGCCAAGAGTGAGTTGCAGGAAATCCTGTGTTCCTCCCAGGCAGTCTGTGGTCTGTCCTCTGATTACAAGTTTCCTATTGGATAAATAGCGCTAGCTTGTATTTTCTCCAGTTCTCTGATGCTTTTTTTCTTCTCTGTGTTTTGTGATGGTAGGGCTTTGGCCCTGGAGGTTTTCTGGATGGTGTTTAGGTGCAGACTTTGAAAGGTGGAGGATAAAATTGTAACAGTGCTTTTGATTTAGTTGGGCTGGGGGCCAGTAATAAAAATCATTAAGTAAGTGTCAAGATGTTAACAGCATAGACCATTTGATGTCAGTGTGCAGTTGCCTTCTAAGCAAGCTCTCTCTTTTTTTGCTTCAAATTTGTCAGCTAAAAATGTTTGCCTGTCAAATGATGATACCAGTCTGCCCTATGTCAATCTTCAGGAATTCACAGCTTGGTTGGAAATGAAGTAGGGCGTGGGGATCCTGGGCTGAGTTATGGCCCAGAAAGCTACCTTTCTCCCCAAAACTGTAGATGAAGTGAGGTTGAGATTTACCCAAATTCAATTTACCCAAAACCAGTGCAATATAATACAAATACTAAATTGTGAACTATAGACCAAATTGTGGTTACCCTGGCTTCCAAAAGCTTGAGCAGGCATACTTGAGGAAATTATATTTCATGGGCCAGCAGAACAGGACGTTTTATGCTGTATTTCAGTGAAACTGTTGTGTCCTCTCCAGGCAAGCTTTCTTTGGAGTTAGGTAACTGGTCTTTAAACATTGGCTTGGTTTTCAGTTTAGAACAGTAGGTAGTCTTCATGGAAATGTGTCAAATTTGTGTGTTTGGTATCATCAGCCATATGGGATGAGGATGGATCAAAAATACAGTATTCAAATTTTACTGTTTCTGTTTTGTAAATCAGTATATAACTGGTCCAGGTTTACAGTTGACCTTCAGTGTGTGACTGGTCTCATCCAATGTTGCTGGGCAGCTTGATAAGGATAATTAGGGTTCAGCAGTGCTGGACTCCCATGTCTGGTAATTGAGTTGGCAGCACAAGCACTTAAAAGAGCAACTGCAGAGCAGAGGTCATACCTGGTAGTGTTGTTATTGGCATAGAATTGCCATGCTGAGAGGTTGCAAGTGCTCTCCTTCTGATCATTATAATTTGTTTTCCTATCCACCATTTCTTTCTTCCAGCTTCAAACACTGATTCAAGAAACTGACCCTGGTGCAGATTACCGCATCGACCGAGCATTGAATGAGGCCTGTGAATCAGTGATACAGACTGCCTGCAAGCACATACGGTCTGGAGACCCAATGTAGGTGTCTCTCAGTTACAACTGATTTTTGTTTCTCTCGGGCATCCATGAAGGTTGTGTGGCTGACCAGTATAGATACTAAAACCTGTCCAGAAATGGCAGGCTCCAAACTAGCAATTCGTACAGGGTTGGAGGTGTGAACCAAGCTCTGTCTTCATTCTTGCCATATAAGCAGGCTAGTATTTTTACAACAGGGCTGGTTTAGCAGTGAAGGATGTAGCTATCTCAGATGCTTAGATTAAATTTGTAACATTTGATGTGCTAATTAGTCTTACTACATAAGTCTTTAGCAATATCACAAGGAAAAGTAACAAGCCTTGAAAGGCTAGGTCAGCAAACCCATACTGCAGAGACAGATGTCTCCTTTATCATCAGGTCTGATATATGTTGTCTCCTGAGCCAGATTTTTATATAAAATATCCCTTATGATTTTGTCATGTATCAGACTTGCTGAGAGAACTAAAACAATGGAATTTGAGAGGGCACAAATGTGGTATATAGTTGTTTTAGATGTAATCTTTTGGAAGGAAGAAAGATCTTCACTGTTTTTGAACGTCTTATCTATGGTTCATTGGAAAGACTGATTTGGCAACACCAACTGTTAGAAGGAAGCTCAGCATGGTTATAACAGTCTGTTGCCTAACTTTTTTCTTCTGTTTGTAGGATTCTGTCTTGCCTGATGGAGCACTTGTATACGGAGAAGATGGTAGAGGACTGTGAGCATAGGCTCCTGGAGCTCCAGTATTTTATATCTCGTGATTGGAAGTGAGTACTGTAAAACAAGATTATCCTCCCTTGATGCTTGCCTTTAGTGTTTGCATGCATTAGCAGTTCCTTATAAAACAGTATAGCTTATGCTTGTTCAAAAGAGGACTTTTAAGCGTGCCAGGTCTGTAGGGCATTAATGCCTGTCTAGAACAGTAGAAGCAAAAGCTGCTTAGAAAAAGTAAGTGTGATGCCCACTTAAATCAGGTACTCGCTTAGAAATGATGCAGCCCTAGAAAGCATCTCAAGTTTGAGCTCTGAATGTCAATGCATCTTTAATTAAAATAAGTTTCTCTGGCCATATTGAAGTTGAAGGTCACTTTCTGTGCAGGTGGCAGCCCAGTTTTATCTGCTCTGAGTGCTACAATATGGGCATTAAGAAAACCAAACTACTAAGTATAACAAAGAGACACTGTGGGAGAGGCTCCCTGCTTCCATTTCTGCCTTTTTTCAAATTCCCTAGGTGCCATTACAGCCAGTAGAGCAGATGTAATTCCCTTTGGAGCACTGCTTTTCCAACTTTCTCATCCAAAGATGGCAGTGCTTTGTTTTAAAGATATACAGAGCCCCTGTATCTGTGTGGGTTAAGAGGAGGAGAGTATAAATTTGATAAACATTACCAGTGAGGAAAGAATAAGTGTTTGGCTTTTCTTCTGGAGAAGATTGTGAGGTAAGGAAGTAGAGTACATCAAATGGTATTACTTCAAGAAATGGAATAATTGTTCTCAGTGACCATAAGGAGTGTGAGGCAAGAAGCCATGGCTTTGATTACTGCAGAGGGTATTCAAATCAAACATTAAGAAAATCTGACTCATAGCTGTATCTGTGGGCAGCATTGCCAGTAGTTAAGAGCTGACATGCTCTGTGAACATTCTGCTTTTAAAATACATGGGGCTTCATGGACCAGGGAGTTTAGGGCTTTGTGGCTTTTTACTTGGTCATCTCGGTAACTGTTTCCATAGGTAGACAAGAATACTCTTCAATTTTTTTTTTCCCTCCTCTTCCTGTTTCCCTTCATTGCTGGTTCTCCTGCCTGTGCCATGTTTCCAGCAGGTAGTTCGTTGCTTGAGCCAAACTTAAGTGATTGCAAGAAGGAAGACTGAGTATTTGCATTTTGCTGCGAGTAAAGATAATTCTAATTCATACTGCAGGCTTGGCAACATTAGCTCATCTTTCTTGTTTAAGCACTGTTTCCTAGAACTGGCTTATAAAAACTGTTGTATTCAGTGTGCGCCTAGCACAAATGCATGGAGTAGAAATGGTTTTCTTAGTACTTTCATCATTATCTATATAATTGTGTCCACTGATACCACTGATGTTTGCCTTTTAAAGTGTTGTAGAAACCTGAAGTTTCCATTTTGGAAAGTTGGCAATATCTCACTTAGCTTTAATGTAATTAGGCGTCCTCTTAAGAGATCTGCACTTGCAGTTTTCTTGTATGCAAAAGCAAGGGATGCTGAGTCTTCAGTTAGCTCAAGTCCAGAGCAGACAATAATTAATCTAACTCAGATTTTTATGAAACTGGCATTTCAAAATGGCAGCTGTACAAAGTACATGTAAGATATTATACAAGCAAAACATGGTATGTACCTGCCTTTCTGCTGTTTTAGGACATCAAGGAGATGACTTATTTTCTTATGTGTCAGCATTTGGCTGGCATACTGCAGAAGAGAATGGGAGGTGCTTCAAGAAGCATTTAAGATTTAGTCTGTAATTAAAGATCTTAGTGTATTTTTGCAACATCAGGAAGTTGATTCCAAACTGAGTGACAGGCGTTTTGCCACCTGTTCGTTCAGTTGGTTAGACGCTGCTGCTAAATGATGTGATGGTGTATGAAACTTGAAGTAGATTTTTCTGCCTCAAAAGCATTTCAGAATATGAAAAACGTTAAAGGTTTGAATAAAGTGCTAGTGATAACTTCTCTGTTTGCAGATTGGATACAGTCCTTTACCGCAAGTGTCAAGGAGATGCCTCCCGTCTCTGCCATACCCATGGCTGGAATGAGACTAGTGAGCTGATGCCTCCAGGGGCTGTTTTCTCCTGCTTGTACAGGCATGCGTACCGCACAGAGGAGCAAGGAAGGAGGGTAAGCGCTAGAGTGCAACTACTGCTCTTTGATCTGTGGTAGAAAGGTTGTATGTATGTTGGGAAGTTGGACACACTGTGCTAAAACTGCAAGAACTTGCAAAAGCTACTTAAAAGCATTTACCGTAGGTGGTACTCGCACTGCCTCCGATGCCCAGCTCCTCCTCAAGTGTGCCTTGAAGGTCTATTGTTGTTGTTCTGGTAAGGCAAAATAGCCACATGAAGATGTGACAGTTGCCCACAGGGGGAACTGTGTGCTGACAACAACTTAGGTCTATCTGTTTAGACACAGTGCAAGCCTTCTCCCTTGTCTTTCCAAAGAGGAGTGTGATTCCTTGTAGATAGCTAGCATAGCTGCAAAATTGGTTTTATGCAAAAAGGAATTCCAAGCCCAGCTTTCCTAGGCTGTTTCTAATTAAGTTTTGATTTGACTACAACTTCAGATTATGCCCCATTACATTCTTCCTATTTAATATAAAGCATCCTTTCAGTTCTTCGAAGAATACTGTACTGGTAAACAGGCTTATGCTGTCTTTAGAGAAGACAGTAGGGATCTGGCTTGCTGCCCTGCAATCTGGAGATCCACCATAATCACATTTGTTTGGTTCAGAGCTGCTCTTTTCAAGTTTGCTGCCCTCTCGTGCCTTTATCCAGGCACTCCCTTGAAAGCAGCTGGGTACTTGGTTCCATTTCTTTTGACACTGTAGCGTACACAGCCCTTAGGAGTTGGTGGGTTTACACAATGGCCTGGCTTAAAAATTAATTTCTACAGCTTGATTTAAAAGGTCTTTTGTGGCAGAAGTCAAGTATTGATTGAAAGCATCTCTCTTTTAGGAATAATTTTTTTTAATGCTGTTTCTTAGTCTGCTGTGTTGAGACTTTTTAATTCCATTTTATATTAGTGCTGACCAAAGAAATCAATAACCAGCCTGCAAATAATCTATCAGAGAGAAAAGGCTTTAAAATGTATTTTTCTTGTGGAAAGTAGGCTAAGGGAGCAGCTGTCGCTTTGAAATTTAACATTTGAAAGCAAACTCATCAGAGGTTAGACCTGCACTTTTTTCCAGTGCTGTCCACAAAATGATAGTTAACTTCCAGTGGTTTGGATTTTTGAATGTATGAAGTTTTAAGCTTCAACCGGTGCATTTTAGGTCTGACAAGCACCATGCCAGTATCCCTCGATTTTCTACAATTTGTTTCTTCCTGAGTCTTGGCAAATGCTGTCTCTGATGTGCTGCCATGGGAATTGGTGAGCAGAAATTACAGATGGACTATATTGCCTCATTCTGGGCTTTAGGCTTCCCTTTTGGTATTGAGGGCATGAGCTATTTTGACTTTCTTCTCCAGAAGCAGTCTGTAGCTTTGAATGAAGGGGGCAGTGCAGCAGATAATCTAGGGACCTGCTTTGACATCTCATTTCAAAAGCAAAGTGAAAGTTTAAGAGTATAAGATCTATTTCAGTGGAATGACTGGAGCCTTCCTCCAAACTAAATGACAAAGCTCCAAACTCTTTTGGAGCCTGGCTTACTTGGGGGGTGGGCCCAGCAGACTCGTGCTGAGCAGTACTCTGGGATTGCTCATGGCGTTTGTGGTCACTCTCAGTACATCACCTGTCAGCATCTTGTTTGTGTTGTACAGATTTAGAGACCCCATATGCTAAACGCTCTTTGCCCTCTTTGCAGCTATCACGAGAATGCAGAGCAGAGGTCCAGAGAATCCTCCATCAGCGTGCCATGGATGTGAAGCTGGACCCAGCCCTCCAGGACAAGTGCATGATTGACTTAGGGAAGTGGTGCAGTGAAAAAACAGAGACAGGGCAGGTACTGTACACAGTAACACTGCTACTTTGTTTGCAAAGTTGGAGGGGTGGGAAGGGCAGAAAGGGAATAAAGGGACGTCTTGTTGTTAGCTGTCTCTTTGGAGCTGAGATATATTAAAAATGTGTGCAGTTTGAAACATAATCTACACTAGTCTGAGAGACGGAGATGATACGAAGAAGCTTTGCACCTCATGCATGGTTTCAGTAGGTTCAAATGTGTAGTGGAATGAGAAGGGAGAAAGGCATAGTTAACAAGGATTTTAATGAAGCAACCCTACCCCACCCTGACTCTTATTTGTAATATTCTATTACAAGCTTGACATTTCCCACATAAACTTTATCCCATTTCCATTTGGCAAATACTGACATGCTTCCTGTGTTTATACAGAACTGAACTAACATCTGCTGCTACTTAACAAAGCTTCAAAAAATAGGATCATAGAATTATTTAGGTTGGAAAAGACCCTGAAGATCATTGAGTCCAACTGTTAACCTACCATTGCCAAGTCCACCACTAAACCATGTCCCTGAGCACCACATCTACACATCCTTTCATGTTAAATTGCTGTGCCCTAGCATAGCTGTAGGGAAGGAGCCATTCTACAGCAGATGCAGTAGGGTGTACACCACTGTCTTTTTGAAGTGTCTGTCATAGGTTGTAGTTTGGGTAATTACCCTCTCGTTAAGGTTATGTGAAGGGCAAATTAAATGTGATATTCCAGAAGTAAAAGCACATCATGCAGCTTTTGAGAACAAGCGGTAACATCCTAAACCAACATTCTCAACCACTGCTACATATATGTGTTCTGAGAGTGCCAGCAGAGGGATGGGATTAAATGAGATTTAGGACTTTACAAGGAGGAGGGCAGTTTTACACGTGTTGCGATATTTCAGGCCAAATTTTCGACTTGAGTTCTTTGATCACACGCTAAAATCTCTTTTTCTTATAGGAGCTGGAATGTCTTCAGGACCATCTTGATGACTTGGTATCTGATTGCAGAGACATAGTGGGAAACCTCACTGAGCTGGAGTCAGAGGTGAGCGGTTTTCAGCCTGGGATAAAGGGAAGAGTTGAGCGTGTGTCTAGTTAAGTATGTAATTTTGACAGTGGTGAAAAAAGTGAGGTTAGAGTAGCTGCAGAAATAACAGGTCTCTGGGATTAAGCAGAGACCATCCATTTTACGCTGTACAGCTTGCAAGTCTTGCTTGCAAGTAGTTTTGAGTACCGTATTGCAACTTCCGCTCACCCCCGTCCCAAAAAATTTGCAAGAAATAACTGCCAGGTGCATCATTAGAGGTTTTCAGTGACGTCAGCAGTTTTACTTATTTTATGAATCTCTATATATTTTAGTATCTTGCCCCAAACGTTTCCCTGTATTTCTTAAAATTTACATTGTGCCCTAGGGAAAGCTTCCTTTCAGTGGTTACAAAATGGTTTGCTCAGAACTATCATTAATCTTTAAATCCTCCCTAGGTGTAAGGTGATTTCTAGTGCTGTAGTGTCCAGTTTGGAGGAGATTGGCTGAATTATCCAAGCAATGAGTTTCTGTGGAGACCAGGCTCTTCCCTTAAACTGGAAGGCTTGTCTTGCATTTGTCACGTTGTTGGCGAGAGTGAACCCTAGGATTTCCAGAACTGAAGGGCAAAGCTGTCTGGATTACATCTTTCAAAACCCTGTAAACTGGCTTGAGTTTAACTTGTTATCATGGGAGCCTTTTTTCTTGTCCATTCACTGTGAAAATGAAATACTGTACATTTTCTGCAGGACATTCAGATTGAAGCCTTGCTGATGAGAGCATGTGAGCCCATTATCCAGACGTTCTGTCACGTGAGTACTCTGTAATAGCATGAATATCTTTGGGGGGAAAAAACACTGTGTGGGAAAGGTTAGAGGTCTTTAATACTAGTTCTTGATGTACTTTCTGCACTTCAAAAGTAAAATCAGAGATAAGCAGTTACAAAAGTCTTTAATTAAAAAAAAACACCCTGAAACAAGAATTCTTAGTTCCATCTAGTACTTCTGCTGTTGTCAGAGCCCTAGCACAAAAACTAGAGGTTTAAAGATGAAAATTGCCCTGTAATTGGAAAAGTTACTATTTGAGTGGGTTAAAAAATAAACTTTTTTCCTTCCGCTTTGCCACAAGCAGTGTGTCTTAGCCACTCCACTCTGTGCAGCTGCTCAGCATTGCTGAAAAAACTTCTTACATTGCTCTAGGATTGAGTAGTTAAATAGCAATGAAGGCACTTAGCTGTAGTGCTTCATGTAGGCATTGAGTCTCTGCAGTACGTTGTCCTGAGTCTAAAGTGTGCGTGTGCCTGAAATGATTCTTTTCTGAACTGTATCTATAAATAGTTGTGTGGTACAACTCTCGGGTGGTCAGTTAATGGTAAGTGTAAGCTCACAATAGAGTGTGGCACTGCAAGTTCCATTATTTCCTGGTCACAGTGGGCTAAAGGAGCATAAAAATCATGACTTGTAAGTGTAGCTAATTTTTAAGCCTTTCATCTGGTTTTTCCAGGAGGTTGCAGATAACCAGATTGATTCTGGGGACCTGATGGAGTGTCTAATACAGAACAAACACCAGAAGGAAATGAATGAAAAATGTGCAATCGGAGTTACTCATTTCCAGCTGGTAAGCAGCACTTTCCTCTGCTGTCAATGGAAGCTTGTTCTGTTCGTTGAGGGTGTTGACAGGAATTAGCTAATTATGAAACCCCTCCTTTGAGATTGATTTCCCACTGTATTTAAAGTGCTCTTGTGAATTCAGACAGTTGTACTTGCATGCCTGGTCATAAATGGTCACTTCCGGAGATGATTTATTTTCAGGCCCTCCTTCCTTCCTGGCATATGGTAGATAGGGTCCCAGCTTCTTCAGCAGTGCAGCATCCCGTCCCCCTTGTTTCCACATTAATAAGTTGTGGACAAAAGCATTTGCTGACTGCATGATTCAACAAGTGTTCTTTTGGGCGGCACTCTTCTTTTTTTTTTTTCCCCCCCCCCCCCCCCGTGGCCCCCCCCCCCCCCCCAGGTGATCAAAATTGTTTTTCTTATTCCTCTTGCAGGTTCAAATGAAAGATTTTCGGTTCTCATACAAATTTAAAATGGCTTGCAAGGAGGATGTGCTGAAACTTTGCCCCAACATCAAAAAAAAGTATGTAGCACCTGACCAAACAGCAGATTGTATAAGTATGTAATAAAGTTACAGGATATTTCATGATAGGACAGAAAATGCTGGACTTTGTCAAAGGCTGATTG